CCCCCCACCCCGCCGCCCGCAGCCCTGGAGCCCCCCCCAGTCCCTGGCCTTGACCCAGAGCCCTAGCTTGCCCCAGTCTCTCCTAAGGAGGACACTGCCGAGAAGCCTTGGGACCCTGTCCTGGTGAGGCAGAGGAGTGGCTGAGATGATCTTTGACTCGGATTCCAGTTGGGATGGCTGTAAGGGGACACCTCCGGCAGAGAGAGGCAGGCAAACCGCAGGCTCAGGCTTTCTGGGAGCCAGAAGAGGGAAAGACTTTGCTGTGTAACCCTTTCAGCGCCACACCCAGGCTGGAGCCAGGACACGGTCCTTTCTGGCAGTTCTTGCCCAGTGGCTTGTGATGGGTGGAGGGTGAGGGGTGGAGGGGTGTCAGTGTCTGAACTCACCTCCACAGGCCTTGAAGAGAGGAGCCAGCTGTTGCCGGCCGCTAGGGCTCTCAGAGTGTGTGTGTGTGTTGGGGGGGGGGGCGGCTATGAGCCACCTGGGGCACCCAGGTTGCTTCAGGCTGCAGCCTGCCTTGGCTGGGAGGAGCTCCCGGGCTGCAGACTCCCACAGCCCCGCATAAAAAGTATTCCCCCGGATGGTGATAAGCCATGGGGTTGAGGTCAGACCTTCAGGGCTGAGGAGGCACGGGCAAACTGCCTGTAAGACTCCCGGGGCCCACAAGGAGGTGGAGAAAGACTACAAGGATCAAGAGCGGGTCCTACCTTACTGGGGTGGCCAGTGGGCTTCATTTTGGTGCCTTCCTGGCCCCGACTCTGGCTGTCTTCCCAGCCCCGTGCTGTCCTTAGCCTGGCCCTCGCTGGGGGATCTCTACTCCCCCCCTGCCCAGTCGTGGCTCGCCTCCGGCCCCCGCCCCCCAGCCCAGCTGAGCCCCCTCTCCGGTGATGAGATCTGTGGCGCTCTGTTTGGGCTCCGATCGTGCCTCGCTCGGTGGGCGTCCAGGGCCCAGACCCGGCTGCCCGCCGCCGCCCGCAGCCCCCCGCAGCCCGCACGGGTGGGGGAGGGGCGAGGGCGGCGGGAGCGGGAGGGGAAGAGTAAAGGCTGGCGGCTCCCCTCCCCCGGAGGGTGTGACCGCCCTATAAGAAAGGCTCCGCGCTCGGGCACTGGGGCTGCAGGCAGCGGGGGCGCAGCGCGCCAGCGGAGAGCCGAGGCCGTCCCTGCCTCCCGCGCCTCGCGTGCGTCCCACCGCCTGCGACCCCCGGGCAGAATGTCGGAGTCCAGGAGGAGGGGCCGAGGCCGCGGCAAGAAGCACCGAGAGGGGAGGAAGCGGGAGCGGGAGCCCGAACCCGGGGAGAAAGGTAGGGCACCTCGGCGCGCCCAGAAAGCCCGTTTCACTGGGAGAAACCTGCCACCCGCTCACCCGCCCCCAGCTCCGCGCTGGCGAGTCTGGAGCTGTGCGAGCCGCCGCCCGGCTGACAGGCACCGGAGGAGCCGAGTGCTTGCGGGCGAGCGGGGCTCCGTGGCCGGGTGGGCGTGGGACTGCGCGCCCGGAGTCCGCGGGTGGCTGTGCGCGCCTGTCCCCGGGCCGCCGCGTCCCGACAGCGAAGGGGGCGGCCGAGAGGCGCTGCCCCCACCCCCCACCCCCGGGGACAGGCCTGCAGACGCGGAGCCCTGCGTGAGTGGCAGGATGGAGCTGGGGGGCACGGACAGAAAGCGGACCAGTCGCCGCGGGGCCTGGCCTGGCCTGGCCCGGAGCGCTGAGGGAGCTGTCACTGCGTCTCCTGCCTCCGAGTGTGCTCTGGGCGCGCTCCCGCCCTCGTGCCACACCTCCCTGTGTCCTGCTCAGCCATTGGAGCAAGGGCAGCAGCGTCGGCTAGCTCTGCAGGCTGGGGGGGGGCGGGGGGGGATGCCCTGTCAGCTGGCGAGCTCCAGCGAGTAGGGAGCCACCGCTTTGTGACTGGTATTGCCCCCGGCACCAGGCATTTGTCTCCCTCTGGTCTTCAGGAGTACTCTCTTGGGCCTTTGGGGTCTGTCCCAGGGAAGGAGGGGAGAAGGTGCCCTGCGCGAGCAGAGCCCTATGCTGACACCCACTTTGGTGCCCTCCCTGAGCAGCTGCAGGGTAAAGGAGGAAAAATCCCACTGAGGGCACTGGTCTGGGGCTTCTCAGGGTGGGTCTAGGGTGTGCAGGTCCTCCCTTGTACAACGAGGCTTGCGATATCGGGGCACAATCGGAAAACCCTGGGTTCTCACTTTTCTTCAGGCGAGCGTGTTATTAATGACTACAGAGTACTGGTCAGAAGGCTTGGCATGCTTCACTCCATTTTCTCCTCATAATAACTCTGGGGGCAGGGGGTCTTCACCCCATTTTACAGAGGGAGCAACTGAGGCTTCCTGAGGTTAAAGGCCCAAAGTTAAGTTCCAGAGATAGGTCTGGAAGCTTCAAATCCAGCATTCTCTGGACAGTGATGTCCATTTTGCTGGATCTCTGTCCCCTCACTAGAGTTCCTGCCAGAGCTGCAACATAAAAATGGTTTCAAAAGAGCACTGGATTGGGAGTTGGGAGGCTTCAATGGTGGTTGAGGATATGGCCAAATCCCTTTCCTTTTCTGAATTTCTATATAATGAGGGAGGAAGGGTGGCAAGGTAGTTTCTGAGGTCTCTGTTGGGGAGAGCCCAGGAGTCAAATGTTGCCTTCAACCTAGTAGAAAGTAGGAGCCAGGGAAATTTAAAGGCCAGGGCTATATTGTCTTCTTTATCAAGAACATCCCTTGGGGCACCTGGGTGTCTCAGTTAAGGCTCCTACTCTTGATTTTGGCTCAGGTCATGGTCTCGGGGTCGTGGGATCGAGCCCCGCATCACGCTCCATGTTCAGTGGGGAGTCTGCTTGGGATTCTCTCTCCCTCTACCCCAACTGCACCCCACGCTCACGCTTTCTCTCTCTCTCAAATGAACAAATAAACCTTAAAAGGAAGGAAGGGAGGGAGGAAGGAAGGAAGGAAGGAAGGAAGGAAGGAAGGAAGGAAGGAAAAGAACGCCTCTTTGCTCATCTCTGCTAGGCAACTGTGTCTAGGAGTCCACCCTAAGGAAACGGACACTGTTGGTCTGCCCTGAGTAGTGTGTGGGTCAGCTTAAGCTGGGCATGTGTAAAGTGGGATTAGCTCCCAATCTGAGACCTGAAGAAATTCAGGGTGCCTATCTTCAGGGTCAAAATTTATGGATTTGGCTCAGTGAGCCACCTGTTTTCTCCCCCTCCCCTCCCCAACCCCGAACACATCTTATCATGGGCACCTTGGAAGGCTGACTAGTTAAGGGTACCTTCCCGATGTCAAGGAAGCCACTGGGTAGGCTTCAATGGGTGAGAATCAGTGCCAGGGAAATGAGAATGCCTACTGCCAAGGGTAGAGTATGCATTCGGGCACAGGTGGGAGTGCACTATGAGTAGGAGATTCCACAGACCTCTCAATGATCTCTTCCAGAATCTTCTGCCCCTGTGAGAAAGTCCTTCTTGATATCTAACTATAATCTTTCCTGCTTTTTTCTTCTCTGCTTCATCTTATTCCTTGCTTCCCAGTGGGAAGCCAGCTCTTCAGAATGCCTTCCTTCAGGGAGCTAGCTGGTGAGCAGATCCCAAACAGACCCAAGGCCTGGGCTAGAGGAACTCTGGAGACCTGGGACACTCTGGAATGGGGAAGTCAGGGGGGAGGGTCATGCTCCAAAACCAGATATCAAGAGAAAGTACCATGTCGGTGAGAAGTAACAGTCTTAAGTCCATGATGTGACTAGGGGGTCTATTTCAAACCCAGTAGAATCAGTGCTTAAGTCAACAGTGGCCTATAGAGGTGGAGGCCTCCCTCACAGTTCCCCTCCAGGCCCACCTGAGGCGGCAGGGCCCTCTTATTGCATGCTCAGAGCACCCCAGTGGCAGAGAACATGGGCACTGGGCAGCTGGAAGGGGGGTCTTAGCCAGGGTGGGGCCACATTTGGTTGAAAGACTAGGAGGTGCAGATATGGAGAGCGTGAGCACGTTATCCACAAAAATCTTCACCTTAGATGGCAGGGCAGGGTTGGCAGTGGGATCTGGAAAGTGGGAGGGAGAAAGGAAGAAAGAGAAGATGATGTTAATTAATTGGCTCCCCACCCACCCAGCACACATCGAGCAGCGTCCATCTCCTCCTTGGCAAACAGCAAGAGGAGACCCCCAGACACACACACACCCAGGCCAGCATGGGGAAATAGGCTTTTCTTCTGTCTCAGCGCAGGAGTGCCAGGTGGGGCTGAGCTGCAGGGGTGACTCAGTGAGTTAGTGGGGCTGAAACTGGTATCCCTACCTGGGGCCAGTTCCCCCCATTTCCCTTTATCCCCGGGGTTTGGGGAGGGGGCTGGCTGGCATGGCCTTGCCGGCCTTGGCAGAAGTATTGGGGGATGGCTAATAAACCCACTCCTGTACCTGGGGTCTACCCCCTGCTCTGCCTCTGTGTGACCCCAGGCACTGTCCGCTCTCTATCTGGGCCCCTGGAAGTGGGTTCTGCTCTCAACTCTTACTTTCTTCCTGTCAAGGCCAGAGCCTCAGCCCTCAGGCCCTGTGTCTCTGAGAATCCCAAGGGAGGAGAGCTACGAGATTGAGGTGGGTGAGGAGCTGGCCCCAAAGAAACTGATAACCCTTGAAGGTGCTATCCGGTTTTGAAGAAGGACTTTGGAACCAGACTCTAAGTCACCGGCCTTTTCTGGGTGCCCCCTGAAAGACCAGCCAGGGATGGTTGGAAAGGTCCCCTCTGTTGAGCTTCCTGTGAATTGGGAAGTTGTGTCTGCCCACAGGAGGGCAGAAGCCACACTTAGGTCTTGAGCTGGGTCCTAGAGTATGAAGGTGGATTAGCATCACCAGCTGAGAACTCTGGACACCTCTCATTTGAATGGGCACAAAGAAATCCTTGCAAGGTCTTTCTCTCCCATCTTTCCCATCTCCTGCCTCTGATTAAAAAAAAAAAAAAATAGCGCCCAGACTTCTAGGACAGACTACTCTTTAGGCTGTCAAGGGTCAGGTCAGAGGTGGTCATGTGCCCACAGGCACAGGTCGGAAGCGCATCTGTTGGTTGTTCCGGCCGTCTCCAGCTCTGGCCTTGGCCCCAGGCTTACTCTGCTGAGCCAGACACCTAGAGTGGTCCTCCTGCCAGTCCGGGGCTCAGCGTGTGCCTCACGCTCTGCTCCAGCTCCCTGGCACCGGGGAGTTCATTAGGATCAATAACAACACGCAGAGAGTGACTTTGTACTTGCCAGCAGTCTTTCATCCTTATAGCTCAAAGCAGTTTACAGACCAGGACTCATCAGCCCTCAGCCCAGGGCTCAGGCACTCAGCAGGGGGGGACGAGGGGACAGGGAGACTGGCATGGCAGTGAGGTTGGAGGAAGGCAGTGAGTCACCTGGGGTGGGGGAATTGGGTGGCCACTAGGTCTGGGATAGAAGTAGAATTGGACCGAGGGCTTCAGGCTGCACACGGAGGGGATGTTCTCCCTTCGAAAAAAAGGAGCTGGTCCCTTCTGACCTGTGCGGACTCCATGGGCTAGCTTCGTGGGCAGCAGAGGTCCTTGGATGCAGATAGTGGCAGGAATCCCAGGTGACCCCTATTACTGCCCTCTGCCCTTGGTGCAGGAGCCCCAGGGCCAAGTCAGGACAGCCCTGACCTGGAGTCGTGCCAGAGTGAAGAGTGTGTGCAGGAAAAGGTGCTGGCCCCCGCATGGGCGAGCCCCAGCCCTGGCTTGAGGTGGGCTTCCCAGTGTGGACACCCATGCCTCGTCTGCCCCACTCATCTTTCTGGCTTCCTCTGCTCTCCGGCCAACAAGGCTGGCCTGAAAGGACGTTTGGCACAGAGAAGAGAGGATTGGTTGGTTGGTTTTTTTAAGGCTGGCAAAGCACTGCCAAAACTTGAGACCTGGAGCCCATCAGAATCATGTTCGCATTGTGTGTTCTCACCATTTCTGAGCCTGTAGCACACCATTTATAACTTAGCAGAGTCGGGGGCGCCTGGGTGGCTCAGCCGGTTAAGCATCTGCCTTCGGCACAGGTCACAATCCCAGGGTCCTGGGTTCAAGTCCCGTATCGGGCTCCCTGCTCAGTGGGGAGCCTGCTTCTCTCCCTCTGCCGCTCCCCTCCGCTCATGCTCTCTCTCTCTCTCTCTCTGACAAATAAATAAATCTTGAAAAAAAAAAGATAATGCAGCTTCTTAAATAATAATAATAACTTAGCAGAGTCGAATGCAGTATGTCCTCCCTGTCTTCTAACCCAGCCTTGGCGTAACCATCTACCAGGACTTCCAGGTCCTGGCCACATGGTAACTATACAAACTGCATGTGCTTTCACTCAG